AGGTTATGTTTTAAGACAGAAAACTAAAAATGGCTGTGCTATTGTCCACAAGCCGATTACATATTTATTGGGTTATAGCATGCTCTTAACTTAAGTCTATGGTATACTCTATTACTGTCCTCTCAGTTCCTGCTCTGGGCCCTCACTGCTCCCCCGGGGCCTGCTCCTCTCTGGCCTGCTCCTCTCCAGGTGCAGCAGGAACTGCCATTTACCCACCCCCAGCCCCTTCTATGCCTCCTTCATCCCTAACTTCTGTGCCTTTTGAAGATACTAGACAACTTTTTCCCTGTTGAAACTCTCTTCTCTCCATTTTTGGGAACTGGCCACTCCTCAGTTCACTTCCTGGTCCTATCTTCTTTGCTGACGCAGAAAATATAACGAGACTCCATAGCTTGTGCCCTCGGCCCTCTGGTCCTGACTGGCTCTGGGAGCAGCCCCCCTGGTTCCAGGGCCAGGACCCCACATCTGCGTTGTCAGGAGCCATCTGGGTCTCCCCAGAGGCACCAGAGAAGCCAGACTCGTCCCTTTTCTAGGCCTGCTCTTCCCATTAGGCCTCCTCTTCATAGTAATTCTACCAGTGTCCCCCAGTTGTCCATTTAAGAACCAGCAGAGTTGTCTTTGGTTTCTCTGCTAACCTGCTATTCAGTGTGAAAGTCCTGCCCTAGCCCGGGCCTCTCTGGCCGTCTACTCTTTGTTCTCAGCACCACGGCCCCACTCCTGGCCCCAGTCCTCTTTCCTGCACCATGAAGTAGTTTCCCATCCCTGTCCCTGTTGAGTCTTCTCTCTCTGATCTGTCCTACACACTTTCCACAGAACACTCTTTCTAGAACACAGATCATGCTTAGAAACCTCCAGTGGCTTTTCACTGCTTTTAATGTGAAGTTTATGTTTCTAACCACAGCTTTGTTGGTGCTTTGTGACCTGACCCAGCCAGGCTTCCCAGTTCCCACTCTGCACACTACGCCACATGCCAATTGTCTTCAACTCTGATGGGGCACCTGTGGAGCTTTTTTAATAGAGTTAGTGTGGCGCCCCATCCCCAGGGCCCCCAGCCAACTGGGGTGCTTGGGCCATCCCTGTTCCCTGGGTCCTGCTGCCTCCTGAGTGAGGATGCACCCTGCCTTCTCTGCTTCCTGAATCAGCCTTTTCCTGCGGGCTCTGGCTCAGGTACCACCTCCTCCACAGGCTCCTTCTCTAGGAGGTGCCCCCACCCCCGAGGCTGTGCCCTCTCTGACCCGTTGGCCCCTTACTGGGGCACCAGTCCATGGGACTCTTTCTTAGGTTTCAGTGACCCTTTACTGTGAGCCCCTAGGGATGGGAGTGTGCTTTGCTTAATACCCTGGAACAGGTTCTGTGCTGAGTCTATGTGGGTCTTTAGAATGTGTGTGTGCATGAGGAGAGGCAGAGGGTGTATCTTAGATACACCCCGTGTTCCCTTCTCAAGTTCCCTTGGGTTTCCCTACCAGGTTTAGTTCTCAACAGTTCAACCAAGAAACTGTGCCATCCCCAGTGTCCCTCAGAGGAAGTGTCGTGTAAGTGGGGACACACCCACCATTCACCCACCCTGTACATCCCAGGCTAACAGCTGCTTCTGTCAATGCCCCTTTTCACAGGACATTCTTACTGATCTGTCAGCAGAGAGCGAGATATTGGATGTGGAGTGTGAAGTGCAAGACCGTATGGCACACAAGGTATAAGCCCTGGGGTGTGGGTGTCCCGTGAATGCCAGCTGTGTAGCACTTAGCTACCACGTCAATTCTCACGACAGCCCTATGAGGCTGTGGGGTTTTGTTAGCTTTAAGAGAGAGAAGCTGGCCAGGTGCGGTGGTTCAGCTTGTAATTCCAGCTCTTTGGGAGGATGAGGCAAGAGGATTGCCTGAGTCCACAGGTTTGAGACCAGCCTGGGCAACTTGGTGAGACCTCGTCTCTACAATAAATCACACACAAAAAAACTAGCTGAACATGGTGGCATGCATCAATAGTTCCAGCTACTTGGAAGGCCGAGGTGGAAGGATCGCCTAAGTCCAGTAGGTGAAGGCTGCGGTGGCTGTGAGTATGTCGCTGTACTCCAGCCTGAGCGACAAGAGTGAGACTCCAACTCAAAAAAAAAAAAGAGAGAGAAGCCCGTTCAAAGAGGTTGAGTACCTTGCCTGACGCCACATGGTGACTAGAATAAGTAACAGGTTGGCCATTGGAGCTCAGCTTTGTGGCTTTTCTTTCCTCCTCATTAAAGTACTACATTTTTATGGTAAAGAGGTTTAGCACAGTACAGAGCAGTATAGAGTGAAAATTTTGTGCCTCCCACCTCAGGACACAGACCCACACTGTTGACACATTTGTGTGTGTCACTCCACAAGTTTTCTGTGCAGATGTAGCTGTGCCCAGGTTCTCAGTGTCCCCCTATCGTGCTATGAGGTGAAGGTGCATAAGCTCCTGAAGGAATAGAAAGCCACCTGCCCTGAGTAGAGCTGTGGTTTTTTTAAAGTTTTTAGTTGTGGTAAGATGTGCATAAACAGTATTTATCATTTAGCCATTTGTAAGTGTACAGTTCAGTGATGTATCACAGTGATGTGTACCCATTACTGCTGTCTGTATTCAAATGTTTGTATCATCCCCCACCGAAGCTCTGTACCCATTAAACACCAACTTCCCTGTCCTCCCTTCTCCAGCCTCTGGTAACTTCCGTTCTGCTCTCTGTCTCTATATAAATTTGCCTGTTCTGGGACCCTCATGTAAGTGGTATCATTACAGTATTTGTCCTTGTCTGGCTTATTTCACAGTGCATAATGTCCTCCAGGCCTATGCAGCCTGGATTATTCTGATGCCCAGACTGATCCAGCCTTTTGAAGGCTGAATAATACTGCATTGCAAGGAGAGTGTCACACTTTGTTTACCCACTTATCCATCAGTGGACACTTAAGTTGTGACTCCCTTGTCGCTTTTGTGAATATTGCTGCTGTGGACATGGATGTACAGATATCTACTTGAGTTCTTCCTTTTGTTTTTTAATTTTTTTTAATTATTTTTAATTTTACTCTTAGAGATAGGGGTCTCACTATGTTGTCCAGGTTGGTCTTGAGGTCTTGGCTGCAAGTGATCCTCCTGCCTCGGCTTCCCAAGTAGCTGGGATTACAGGTATAAACCAGCACACTGGACTCACTCTGAGTCTTTTTTTTTTTTTTTTTTTTT